CTAACAATTATAATGAGTTAATGCCAGTTTTGGTCTAGACTTATTGGGGCATTGGCACTTTTCATTCTCCATAATAAAAATTGCCACTTAGTAGCGACTGTTATTGATCGTTGGACAGTTTTGATCCTCCGTCAATGACGCCGTTTGTTGACCGTGACTTAGAAGGGTTTTTCTGTCTTTTTATGTTCTAATCCTTGTATTTCTCCATCCATTGGTCACTGCTACATCCATTTCTTCAAACTGATGATATCCGCTTCAGTCCTTTCTGACATTAAGAAACCATCTTCACCCAACTAACAATCACGAATTTTACATTTGACATCAATCTCAAGATAATGGAAACAAGTGCAGTTGGAATAGAAAGGGCGTTAGTCCATGTCTGTGGAAATTTTGTCGAGCATACAACATAACTAGCAAAGTCAGGAATAATATCACCCCCCCCCCCCCCCCCCCCCCCTCTTTACCTTTCTGCATCAACTGTAATAGGTATGCCCCTACTCTTTGCCTCCTGCACTACAATCAAAGCAGTCTCATGCAGCCTTCCATCTAAGTAGACAATATTTACTCCAAGCGCTGAAGACAATTTTGATTTGGGTATGTAGACCCTCAGATATCATGGGTGGATATCCTGGAGTGAAAATGCACGTGAGAGTTTTTTTTTTTTTTGGTTGTCAACAATGACATATGTGAATGGTGAGTTTCCTCCTTTGGACACCACCATAAAAGATGTATCAACACCATCCCTTTCAAGCTCATCAAGTATTCTTTCGACATGCGAGTCATCAGCAACCTTAGATATGATCCTTGGATTAAGACCAAGACGAATTTTATCATCCGGGTTTTATCAAAGCATTGCCAGTGTTACCACCTCCTTGAACCTCAAAGCTGGTGCTCCGAATTTTATCATCCGGGTTGGGGAATGAAGCTACAGCAGCCAGGAAGTCAACACCGGTCATTCCAACACCTCAGACAATGCGATTTTTGGGGAGCGGCGGATGCCACATTTTCAGCTTGAAACTTCAATTAATTTCAGGTAGAATAACAGAGTTTTTGAGGTTGTGCACCAAGTAGTTGTGGTCAGAGAGAGAGAGAGAGAGAGATGGGAAGGATATTTGTGGTCAATATGGAAGGGAGGACTTACAGGTGCAAATTCTACATCACGCCATCTACACCTACAACTGCTATTTACCATAGGAGGGTTCGCCGACCTGCTGCCCTCTCTGCTTCGCCGGAACCAAAAACCACCGGTGAAGGCCACAACCTCGCCGGATCTGTTGCTGCACCGCCAGATCTGCCTTACTGGTCCGTCGCCGGAAGGAGTTACTGCCTCGTATGCTCGCCACCGTACCCACAACTCGCCGGAGAAGAACCTCGCTGCTAGTCACTACCGACGGTTACTACTTAGCCGCCAAGTCTCACCATCTCGCCTCACAGGAGTCACAGTAGCGCTGGTCTAAACAAGATTAGAAGAATAAGACATAAAAAGGCAGAAAAGCACTTCTAATTCACGGTCAACAAACGGCTTCATTGACGGAGGATCAAAACTGTCCAAACGACCAATAACAGTGTCTACAAAGTGACAATTTTTATTATGGAGGATGAAAAGTGTCAATGCCTCAATAAGTCTAGGACCAAAAATGGCATTAACTCCCATTATAATCAAGTGCACAATAATGATATCTTTGGTTTATGAATTTACTAATGAGAATTAAAATCATAATTATTGTTTGATTGAAACAAAATTATGAGATTTAATTCCCATTTAATTAAAAACCCCATTCTTAATTAAAAACAGGTATCACTTCATTTGATCCTCATCATCTGTCACCTCCCGATTTGTCGCACTCTCACTATATCCCTTAGATTTTTGTTTTGATTTTTTGTCATATTGGTGCTTTGAATGTCTTTATATTAAGATCAATTGCGTTGATTTTTGTTTTAGTATTTTTAAAACATTTATTCCCATTATAAGATCATACATAACCAAACATCAATATTACTAATCATTCTAATTCCACCCTACTTCCAAACATGCAAAATACTTTCACCAAAACCCATTACATAACCAAGTGTTTGATTCCCATTCCAATTCCTATTCTCATGTATGAACCAAACACACCCTAAATAATAAGCTGGATATAATTAGATCGATGATGATTCAGGAAAACAAGCTACGGTGTCATCAAAATGTTGCAGTGAAAGGGTGCGCAGTGGTCCCTGAGCACCCTCGCCTAAAAATGACTACGAAAAGGTAAACCACCTTAAATTATTTATAACTACTAGTTTTTGCCCCGTGCGATGCACGGCATAAAATTTAAGTAACTTTATTATTGATAATATCTTAAAAACAATAAAATAAAATATTAATCATGAAATTAAAACTTATTCTGAAATGTATTTTTCTTTAACAATACTAAATTGGTTGTTATATCGAACATCACATATTGTTAGCATATATTATAAAGAATTGTGTTATAACATACCACATGAGATTTAAAAAGTGTACATTAAAATAATATATATATATATATATATATATATATATATATATATATATATATATATATATATATATATATATATATATATATATTTATACACACACACACACACACATTTTTATAAAAAAAAAAATTTAAAAATTAGGAAATCAAACAATATACAATAAAAAAATTATGAAATTAAATTTTCTTATATATAAAAACATTTATTAATATGATTTGCAATTAAAGCCTATAGTACATATACTTGACAATATATAAATAAAAAATACAGTATCATCATCCTACATTGAAACTAACTAAGAAAATCTTTTCTTAAACATTGCTTAATAATAATAATTATATACGTACAACATATATAAATCTAAACTAAATATGAAATATTTCATGACATGAAAGAAAGAATAAAACCTGCAATGCTAAGCCTAATAAACATTTAATTATCTATCCATATAACCTAGTTACGTTGCATTTCAGCCCAATACCCGAGCCCATTAACCCAATTACAAAACCTCATTACCAAATCCTAATCCATATTTTTTGACGATTGTGCTTCCGTCTACTCTGTTGCGTTCGTCATTCTATCTAAAATGTTCACTGACTTACGCGAACCTTCTCTGTTTCCAGCATCTTGACACACTCGATTTTAAATCATCGCACGTCCAAGTAATCCACTGCTAAAAAACTTTTCAGATAATCTGACCGTAGCTTTTGGCCGTTGTGGAATTGCTTTCTTCCCCAAATGCCGATCTGAAAAATCGGGTGACCGGAGCAAATCTAAAACAAACTAATAAATACAGTATCATCTTCAAGTAAAACTTATTGTTTAAAACGAAATTAAGAAATACATCATATTTTCTAATTACTTAATACCAGTTCAATAATTATTTGTTTAAACTTATTCGTCTCTCCAATATTATTGTTCATGCAACTGATTTAAATTTTAATAAACTTTTTTTTTTTTCAATTTAGTAACTGATTTAGTAACTTTTAAAAAAAAAAAAAAAAAATTCCCTCTCAAAACTATATTAGAATGAACAATTAAATTGTTGTCGATCAACAAAATTGTAAGAATAAAAAAACAGGTTAATCTTATTTTTTAAAATTGGATACTCTAATTTTTTTTTTTCCAATAAACAATAAATTAATTTATATAATAAAATGTTAACTTAAAAATACTGGAATGTATTACCTGCTTCATCATTAAATAACAATAATTGTAGATTAACATGTATTGAAAATAGATAAGTATGATGCATTATATACCTTAAAATGATGTAATTTTATTTAATTGGTATTTAATACCTTAAAATGATGCAATTTCATTTAGGCGGGAAATTGATTGACAAAAAACATTTTGCTATTATATAGAGTAAGATTTGGTTCAAACGAACTGAGAAGGCTACGAAATTATTGCGGTTGTCGTAAAAAAATTATAAATTAAAGCTCTTTTTACATTTGAAACAATCATCATATCAAGGACTGTGGTTCACCTTATAAGATGAATATACTGAATATTCATTTTTAACACATTCAATAATGTTAATTTTTTCAATGTTCATTTTATGTATATTGAACTATATCACCAAAAAATAAACAGTTTTAATATAGGGAAAATGGCACTTTTTCCCCCTGAGTTATATACTTATAGTACTTTTTCCCCTTGAATTATTTAAGTGACTCTTTTTCCCCCTAAAATGTTAAATGGACATATTTACCCTTAAAATACATATTTAAAATAAATAATTCATTTATTTTTCTTCTCCAACAAATTATTACTATAATTTGGTTCAAACCAAACAGATACTATAGCAACCAAACCAAAATATTCCAATTACAATTTATAATCAAAACGCGATATTTAGAGTTTATTAAAATCGCGAACCGGAATGGCCGGTTCATGTTCCGAACTGAAAAAATAAAATACATTTATTGTTGAATTTAGACTATTTTAAAATAAAAAATAAAATTTTAAAATAAAGACAGTTCAAAATTGCGAATCGGATCCGGAACCGCCGGTTCATGGTTCATGTCAATTTAATATATTAGGGGGAAAAACCACCACTTTTAAAATAATTGAGGGGGCTAATGTGCTTACATAAATAATTGAGGGGGAAAAAGTGCTATAAATATATAACTTAGGTGGGAAAAGTGCCATTTTCCCTTTAATATATTAAAAATAAATATTTAAGTGGACCATGATGTATAAGTATAATTTGCCCATTTGAAAACCATAAACTCAACAACCAGCAACACCGTGGCCTAAACACTACTAGTGAGCTCTGTCTCTTCGTACTATTGTGAACACCTTCAATCCTCCTATAAATACACACATGATTTCTTCAGTTTTATTCATCATTCAATTATCAATCTTACATAGTAAAGAGTTTTAAAAAATGGGTTCAAAAGTTGTTGTGATCGGCCTCTCTTTGGCCGTGTTTCTCATGATAGCTTCTGAGGCTATGGCGAAGGAATTGAACGAGACTACTGCTGGTGCAGCGACGAAAGCTGAGAAAACAAATGGGGATGCCGGAGATGACAACAACTACGGTGGAGGAAGAGATGGCTACAGAGGCCGCGATGGTGACAGATATGATCATGGAAGACGTGGAGATGACAAAAATGACCACAAAGGTCGTGATGGTAACAAATATGACCATAGAAGACACGACGATGACAAAAATAACCACAAAGGCCATGATGGTGACAAATATGACCATGGAAGACACGACGATGACAAAAATAACCACAAAGGCCATGATGGTGACAAATATGACCATGGAAGACATGACGATGACAAAAATGACCACAAAGGCCATGATGGTGACAAATATGACCATGGAAGACGGGAAGATGACAAAAATGGCCACAAAGGTCGTGATGGTGACAAATATGACCATGGAAGACGTGAAGATGGTAAAAATGACCACAAAGGCCGTGATGGTAACAAATATGACCATGGAAGACGTGAAAATGGCAGATATGACCACGGAAAACAGGGAGGTGGACGTGACAATGGTGGGTATGGCAACAGTGGACGCGGCGATGGCAACTATGGGCAGGGTGGAGATTGCAAGAACGGCTGCTCATACAAGGGGGAGAGCGTGGATGCAACAAAGCCTTAAGCCTCAGCACTATATACCCACTCCGTACATGCATATGAATATGATCGAATTGGCAATCTGTAATAATGCATGCAGTCATGAAGTACCACTTACACTTACTTCTCTGCAATATCTTTATCATAAATAAATGAATTGGTTGCCCTACAATTGTTTCTGATATGTTTCTTTCTTTATTCTACATTTTACAATCACAACATATATACATTTTACATAGTTTAGTTCAACAAAAATCACAATTGTTTTTAAACTATAATAATAATTAATCACAATGAAAAATGGATTCAATAGTAATAGTCTCACGCGCGCTAAGTAATAACATAAATTGTAAGTTATATTAAACTAAAATTTTATCAAATCAAGCATGCATCAACAAGATACTTGAACCACACACTCTAACTTATCAATTCATGGTTGATTTGTATCGCAATCTTTCAAATTTCTGCAAGGGTCTACAAAGTTTAAATTGAGTGATATAATTATTAATAATAATTTCATTTTATATATAAGAAACCAAACTATTATTTTGTTGAATTACTTGCCTTATGCATACACTACTGAAAATTATGGAATTTCCAACCACCTGAAAATGATCTTAAATTAAGTTGATACCAAAAAGTCCAAAAAGTGGTCGGAAATAGCAACAAAGGTTTTTCCGGATACCAAAAGTGGTCGGAACAAGGCTTTCGACTTGATTTAAGATCATTTTCAGGTGGTCGAAAATTCCATAATTTCCCGTAGTGATATGCTTTTATACTTGCACCGAAATAATTTCATACATGTATTTAGTTTCATTACATAATAGTCACATTCCGGTACTTTCTAATTGTTTAGAGCACTAAAATAGAATTACAATACAATTAAGAAATAAAAACTATAAGGCATATGTAAAGCATTCTGTTCAAGTATATATGTGCGTGTATATATTATTGTTTGGAACGCTAGGCCAATAGAATATACACAATACTTAAGATAACTGTTCAAAAAATAAATAAATTATGAGCATTCTGTCCGAAGTAGTGGATTAGAAATAATAATGATGAAGTTGGGAATCGAATCCTGATGCTTCTAAGTAGAGACCAAGCACCATTAGACTAGGGAGCTGAGCTTGTAGTATTTAAACCATGATGTCTAAAATGGAGACAATGATGCCTTTTTATAGTGTAGGAGCTTCCTTCATATACTCATAGAGTGACAAGTGTGTGGACTAGGTAGCCTTCCCTCTACACCATCCATGTGTCCCCGAAGTACTTGTCACATCGTGAATATGCATAACTTGTCACGCTTTTGTACACAAGAACCAAGTAGTTTGGCTAGCTAGTAAGCAATTGTGTTGTTATCCCATAGGTTGCAGGTTTGAAGCTGTGGGTTTGAACGTGATGATTGACTTCGTTTAGTATTTTGTTCCCATATTTTGGATCAACATGCTTTCTTAGCGTCCTCCTAACCCACCAAGACTTTTATCATCTTGGGACAAAACCTCACCAATAAAAACAAATCCCCTCCCAATAAAATATCCACAGGGACCATGACCTAATAAATAAATAAATAAATAAATAAATAATAATTAATTAATTAAATATAGGGTGGCGTTCCAATGAGAACCCCTCCTCCCCAGAGAACTGCGAATATGTATATAAATGCACACAAGCGTCTACAAAAATGAACCTCAGATTCCGGTGCAGCACAATGCACACGATCTCCCCTAAAATAGTTTGTGTGCATTTATGTGGAGGAGGGGGTCTCATTTGATCATTTGAAATTAAGTCTTAAGGTGCACGACTTACCAACTTTAGGTGCATAAATTTCAAGCTTAAGGTGCATCAGTTCCCAGCTTAAGGTGAATGAATTTAACTCTTAAGGTGCACAACTTTGATTCATTAGGAATATCGACTTCCATACTCAAGGTGAATAAATTTAAAGCTTAAGGCGCATAAGTTCGAAGCTTAAGATGCATCACTTCAAAACTGTAGTTAAGGTGCATCAGTTTAATACTTAAGGTGCATAACTTTGATACTTAAGATGCATAAGTTTGAAGACTTAAGGTGCATCAGTTCGAGAGTTAAGGTGCATAAGTTTAAGACTTAATGTGCGTCAGTTCAAAACTTAAGGTGCATAAGTTTGACACTTAAGATGCATCAATTCAAGACATGCATTTAAGATCATTCACATCAATTTTGCCATGGGATGCGTTTTTTTCTTCTAAATTTTCCTTCATTTTGAGCCGTTGATCTAATCTAGATCAACGGCTCAGATCTCACTCCATTTTTTTACCTAGGGGAGACCTTTCACACGTGAACCATCCCATATATATATATATATATATATATATATATATATATATATATATATATATATATATATATATATATATATATATATATATATATATATATATATATATATATATATATATATATAGAGGGATGTATTCAAATGAGGACAAGGATATTATAGAGGACTGTGAGTACTAATATGGTGCATTGGATTGTAATAATGTGTGGTGTAGATTAAGGGAGATTATTTCATTAAATTAGGTGATTTATGCTATTTCGCTATTTTTTTTTATTCTAGGGGGTAGTACTGTAATTGAACATTTGTATTTATTGTTGTATCCCTTTTTCTTCGCTCAGTATTATACCGTATACGGCGCACCATCTCTCTCCTATTCCCCTAAATCTTTTTGTTTTACCGAGACCCTTCCGTTGCTATTCTCTCGTTCCGGTCGACGGTAGTAATGGCAGAAGTTGGTGGCTGTCGACGGTCAAAGCGGACGGCGGAGTCTCCTGCGGCGAGTACGTAGCTTGTATTTTTATTTTTTTCTCTTTTCCCTCATCCGTTTTTATTTATTTATTTATTTTTATTTTTGCTTTGAACTGCTAGGGTTTTCCGTAGGGGGGGGGGGGGGGGGTTCGTTGTTGGGGTTTTGTGCATTGTGCTGAAACGTTGGTGGGGGAGGGGGGTATGTAATTTCTATTTATTGAATTCCCTAGTATATTGCCTAATTGCATTTGTTTGGCCGAATTTTTGTATGTTGGTCGTTGTATATGCGGTTTGCATACGCTGAGTTTTTGTGTTTTTGTATGTTGGTCGTTCATCCATAGTTTTTCTTTTAATTTGTATTAATTTCGTTTTTGGGGATGATTATTGTGTTTATTCTGGATGTTAGGGATTATGTATGGTTTACTGTACTGTTGGCCATTTTTTTTCTTTTTAATCTATAAAAATTTCGTATTTGGGGGTGATTATTATGTTTATTCTAGATGGTAGGGATTGTGTACGGATTTATATTGTTAGGCCGTTTTTAGAATTGTTTTTCTATATGTGTGTGCACTATTTTGTATATTAGTATGCTATTGACCTTGGTAGTGTGTGTCCTTTAGTTATTATTATTGTTGTAATAATTGAAGTTTTGTATCCTGTTTTTTTTTTTTTTTTATTTTTTTATTTTTTTTATTTTTATAAGGTAGAAAGCTTTTGTACTCTTTCATATATTTGTTCACAATGGCCTGAATCAAGTAGGTGCAACCAGCTTTTAGTCGGTAAGCATCAATGCTGCATATACAATTAAACAAGTTAGTGGCACCTGAATCGCACTGACCAGAGTAATTAATTAACTTTACAAAGAAAGATGGACTAAATTGTTGTATAGGAACAAATATTATTGAGAAATGGATTGTTGTGTTTCACTTACCATGCAGTTTTCATAGTCAATGACACGATACTCCCTTAAAACATATATGACATATTGTTGTGTGCACTTGGCATACTCCAGGTCTGTAAAAATGTGTTTGTAGATTGTTTGACCGTTTATGTTTGTTTGGGTGATTGGTACAGGGTGTTGTGTGCACTTTTATATTTGCCTATGTTCATGAGTTCAATGTGTTGTGTCACTTGGCTTACATTTAGTTTGTTTTAGTGATTGTGTTTGTTCATGTTGTTGGTTGGCAGCTAAGGAGGCAAGGGGTACACTTTCGGAGGCTTGTTCATCCGGAGTGCGTAATGATGATGACGATTTTGTTGACCCTCCGCGCGACAGAGCTGAACTCGAGCGCTTACGGTTCCATTACATCAAGGAAATTTGCACCATAGATATCAATGCACACCATACGAGCAATGTGGCACGTGCGTTGCGCTACCGTTTGAGCGGTTCGAGTACCACCAAAGATTGTTACATTGGACTTATCGCTTGTTTTGTCTTTTTTTTTTTTTTTTTGGGTGCATTGGACTTAGTATGTTGCCATGGGCAAGATTGCTTTATCTTTTCATGTTCACTTACGGCTTTCCTTTGTTAACATTGTTTCGATCTTGGGTTTGTTGAATATCAAGCTATTTGTTTTCATCCTTTAATGGTGTACAAAGCCGTCTTCCATGCGACGTATATACATTTTGTTTATTTACTGTACAGTTGTCTTTTAATTTCACTGCCAGAATCAGTTCGTTATATGGACATTGTGTGCCCAGTTAATGTTGTATGTGTCCGCGTCTGTCTCTTTGGTGTGCCAGTGTACTAGTATTTCATGTTCTCATGGTTTGGTATAATATATGTGTTCAACGTTTTCCTTTCCTGTGCCCAACGACCATTATATATGTGCCATTGTGCTTAAAAATGTGTGCCCGTACAATTTTTTTTTTTTTTTTTTAAAAACCAATTACGTGTTTTCAGGACAAATTAAACAGTCATCCGTGTGTGCTTTGTTGTGTGCGTCGATAGTCTTCATTCTGTGCACGCTATTGTAAGTTTTGTGCATTGCGCCCACCTTCTCGTGCATTACTCATGGTTGCCATTTTCCTTCTAACCTCTGTGCGTATACTTGAATGCAGAGATATGCAATTATTCATTCATCGCAAAATGTAGTTGGTTTTTAAAATCGCATATTGTTTTTCTTCTTATGCACGAGTACGTAGTTTCAAATCTCTATTTTCTGTGTGCCCAGTATTTGTTTTTTATGTGCTTTTGTGTGTTTGTTGTGTGCCACCTAACTAATCTTGCATGTTTTCATGGCTTGTTATATATGTTGTCATCTTTTTTCATTCATGTGCCAAATGAACATTGAATCTATGCCACTATGCACTAAAATGTTTGCACTTGCGTGTTATTACTCTATTGTCTCGTCACATTTTGGAATGAATTCTTCGGTTTGTCCACGATATATTTCC